CTTCAGAGCAAGTGCCTGCAGCATCTCCTAACTGCAGAGCATGTTCTGGGAGGCGTGGGTTTAACTCTCTCGTTGCCTCATCCTGTTGCAGAGAGGTGGAAGAGGAAACTTATCTGACAAGTAAACGAACCACGCTTCATTTTCTCTTGTTCTCTGACCCAGGAATTAACCAAAAAGTTTCCTTGGCCAACAAAACCAATGATTTTCTCATGGTGGGGCCTGGATTTCACAGCTATAGAAAGGGAAAAGGACCGCAGCATTTTCTGTAGAAGTTGCCATAAAAGGAGCTCCAGGATTACAAACAGTGGCCATCATCTCTTCCCTTCTCACAGCACAGCAGCAACACAACATCCTAGTAACTGTACCTCTAGGCTCAATTCCTCTGATTCACATCTGGCACTGTTTTGAAAAACGAGGCTGGAGTTTGTAATCCGTCAACCACCTCTGCTCAAATATCTGTGCCCCATTTAAAAGCATGAATGAAATAGCTGAGCTTCCTTTAAGGACAGTCATCCTGTAGTTTGTACTTGTGCTCCTCCTATAACACTAAGAAAGCTAATAGTTACTAAAGCAAGAGTTCCACCTTCTCACACCAGCAATAATCACCCTTGAACATTCTGTTCCTTACAGCCCACATTTTTTAGAATCACAGAATGGCCAGGGTTGGAAGGGACCTCAAGGATGATGAAGACCCAACCCCCTGCCACATGCAGGGCTGCCAACCTCCCCATTTAATAACAGCCCAGGCTGCCCAGGGCCCCATCCAACCTGGCCTTGAACACCTCCAGGGATGGACGGGGCATCCACAGCCTCTCTGGGCAGCTGTTCCAGCTCCTCACCACTCTCATAGTAAAGTACTTCCCCAACACCCAGCCCAAATCTTCCCTCCTTCAACTTAAAACAGCAATTTTGCTGTTGCTTAATGTAAATTCACTGTCCGTGTGAACTCATCAGATGACAAAAGGAGCAGAGCTGTAGGTTATTCCAAGGTGAGAGGAAAGGTGATCTCACTGCAGTGCTGACATGGCCTATGGCTTGTTCACAGCCATCGTCACCTTTGGCTTTAAGAAACACTGCTGTCTGCTTCTGATGCCACATTTGTTGAAGGTGGGTTCTGCCTTGGCACAGCATCCAAAGCCTTCCCAAGATCCACAATGGGGTTTGCTACAGAGTGCTTTCTCACATTCCTCTCACCAAGGTTTACGCAGCATTTTGCTGCTTCGTATTACAAGAACAGTGATTGCTTCTGCAGCCAATTACCTGTGTTAAAAAGGAGCAATGGGGGCAGAAATGCATCACTTGATGCTATAACACATTTTAATTAGGTTTTCAGCCCTCATAATTGAGGAGGATATCAGCTTCCCCTGCAACTTGTAAGTGCCACTATAAACAAGCAACATTTTGTTGCATAAGCAATGCATGCAATTTCTTCTTTTCTTTTTTGTGGAGCTGAACTGCACATATAAGCTCACGTAAGGCAATCTGAATTTACGAGTTTGGTCCTGCAGAGTGCTGCATGCATATTCACTATGCCAGCTGGTAGCACAATTTGGCTGACAAAGGCCAATCAACAGATGGCTTACCCTGCTATGCTTACATCAAAATTGCCCTTTGCATCAAACCCTCCACTACCATGTATGTGTGTCTACATGCCTGCATCCTGGTAAGGGAAGCCATGAGATGAAAGTAACAAACCAAAATCTGCGTTTTAATTGTGTGAATACATAAACATCTGATAAATTCATCCATCCCTGTTACTGTAAGTGCAGTCAGGAAGAAGGAAGGGTTCACAGTAACTCAAGAGAAAAGACAGGATGGTCCCAAACACAAAAACCAGCTGGCCAGACAGAGGCCTTGCCAAAATCTAAGCTAAAACATGTAGGTAGGCTGAGGCAGGAGCAAGTGTAACCTAAAGCAACAAAATGGTTTGTTAAGGTCCAAATCCATATGTAATGACATGCCTAGGAACAAAGGAGGAGACGCAAGTGGTATCACAGTGCAGTACACAATCCCTCCCCTGTGTCATTCATACATGAGGGAATGCCGAATGGAGCATGCGACAGTGGAAGGAATGACACAGGGCACTTGTCACAATAAAGCCTTTTGGCTTAGTAGAACAGTGCTATAGATATCAGACTGGGACAATACAAAGGTGTGAGGGCTCTGCAAATGATTGCCTGGCACCCAACTGCACAGCCTCAGCAAACCTCCACCCCACGTGCAAACTGACTGCAGGGACCCAGCCCCAGCTGCTGGGACAGCAGCACACGACCTGTGGCTGAACAGCACAGGCTGCAAGGTTAAAACATGCAGACTTTGCCACAGATCCAAAGGATAAAAACATTTCCCATGATATTTAAAATCTTGAGGGGCTGGGAGGGGTGGTATTTCCACTCATGTTGACAATGTCAGAACATGAATGTAGGCTATAAACTTGTCCTGGAATGAATTCCCCAAGTCTGCTATTACAAAATGATCAAAACAAGAAGTTCCAGCTTCACTACCAGATTCTTCTGCTTTTTCTTAAGCTGTCAGTTTAAAGAAATTGAGAGAGTCACAAAGAATAGCTATCATTCAGCAACATCACTGTTTCCAATGCAAAAACACAGCAGTTATTTCAGTGCTTTCCAGAGACAAGATGGGATGCACCCAAAATCATCATTAGCGCATGTTCTCACTTAGAAGCTGATCACAAAAGTTTTTGTTGCTGTTGTTTGCTGTTAGTTTTGTCTCCCAAGAGCAGATATCATTCTAAGGACACATCAGATGGCTGTGATGGTGGAGAACAATTTGCTCTGGACAGACCATCAGCCTCTGCCAGCACCGGCTGTGCCCTCAGCTCCTGCGAGCAGCCCCAGGCAGCAGCTGCTGGGGGGGGACCTCTGAGAGCTGGGCTGATGCAGCAGCCAGCTCCAAATGCCTGAGCACTTGGACATGAAGCAGAGGCATGGCCAGGAGCACAGCAAGAGCCAGCGCACTCACAGCAATTCTACCCAGTGCTTGACACTCCAGCTATCTGAGAGATGGGGGCTGAGATCAACGTTGCACCTCCAGTGGAAAGAACACAACCCTCTATTTAGCTTCTCCAGCAGAGTTACGAGAGCCGGAACATCCCTGCAACAGCACATCTCGTCACGCACATCCAAGTGGGGAAAGCTGTGTCTTGCAATGCAGTGCAGCTGTCACACGCGTGGTTTAAAGGCATCACCAAAGAAACAGCCAGATGCTGACAGGAGCAGAGGACTAAGGAAGCAAACAGCCAAGTAATTGCATCTTTTGTCAATGCCATTTTACTCCTTACAGGAGTGCCATCAGTGATAATTGACATTGTCATGATGTAAAACAGCAGCTGCCTCTGGGCACCGACGTGGAACTCGTGGAACTCGTGCTGCTTTGAGACACCCTGACCTGAGTGAGCAAACACAACCACCTCACAGCAGTGGTGTCATGCATCAGTCAGCAGCTGCAGCACGAGGCCCTGCATGGCATGGCATAGGGCTCTTTTACAAAGAACTGGTATCAAGTCATGAGCTGTATCTAGCAGCAGCTAAGAGCAGGGCAGCAGATGAGCACTCAGGCACCCTTGTTTTCTCCCAGCTCTGTGCCTTGCAAGATGTGGGGGAACTACATTAACTCCAAACAGATGCTCTGGGTGCATGCTCCAGACTGGCATCACTGCTACTGAGCATCCAAAACTCCTCCAGGAATACAGGGGAGATGACATCTGCACATCCCTGCAGCCTGCCCAGCATCACCATGGATTTAAATCCCCTTAACTATTATTAATGCCTGTAACACTATAATAGGATGATAATAGCAGTGTGGCAAAGCCTTTGGCTACAGCAAATGAGAACAAGCCCAAATGCAGCAGCCACAGACACAAAATGAAGGAAAAAAGCTGCTTACCTTTAGAAGGCCTCACATAAGCAGAAACCTCCAGCAAGAGATACCCTCACCTCCACTGCCAACCCCTAAATGAGAGCTGGCAAGGGGTGCATCCTGCCTCCACCCCTTCATCGCTCACCATTGCTTGCACCTGAGCTCCCCTGGGTTGGCCTGCCTTCCCACCAGGTGCTCCACCACTGTGTCAGGCTGTGACTGAGCATTGCCACTGCAATGTCCCCAATGAATTCATTAAAATAGCCATATAAGATAAAATGAAGAGCTCTGAAAGTCATGCTGACTGAAGGAGCAAAAGTAGAATAGGTCGAGCTGCTGTGCATTCAGGGCCATAAAAGCTGCCACTGACATCAGCCTCCTTCATGTACTCAGAGGGCAAGCAGAAGCAGGGGAAAAAGTCCCTATGGAACAAATAATTGGTATTTTAAAAGTCATTCCTAAAGCAAAAGTGCGCAATAGGAAATCACTGCTAGTTACAAATACTGCAAGTGAAAAGAGATGTGTTGGAGGTGTGAGTTATGCAGCTCGTCCCACTGATGTCCTGTGTACATTTCACATGGTGTCTGAGCATTCGAGTGCCTGCCAGAAGGGCACTTCTGAAAAGCAAGTGTCAGCCCTGCGTGCTCGGGTATCTCCGAATGTACGCCGTGCTTGTTGGGCAGATATGCTCCTGCAAAGCTGGAAAGTAACCCAGCTGTCTGCATGCAATTCTCACCGTCTGGCAAGGAAGTGTTTGTCATTACTCTCTTTATTGGACATCAAGACAATTACTATGCGTGATAAAGGATTTCCCACCATCCTCGAGGACAAAAAAGATGCACAGAGAAAGCTCTGTGTTCTTTGCATGTTCCCAGAACGAGCCTTGTCTGCACAGAGGGACTTTCCTGCAGCCCCAGTGCAGCAGCCACAGCAGCAGCGCTGCTCCACGCCTCAAAGGAAAGCTCACTTCCAGAGGAAACTGCCTTCAGGTATTAATCCAACTCTCTTCTGAGGCTTCCCGTCATTTCTAGCTGCTGTGATTACTCTTGAGATAAAATCAGTCAATGTGTGAAATGTAATGAGAAAAACTTCTATTACACAGCTGTATTGAACCGTCGGATACTTTCTTAGTATTGCCAAGCTGTTTGAGATGGGAGGAAATGGCCCCAAGGAGAAAAGGTCATCAGATTACTATGCATGATGCCATCCAGCTGCCTCCCAAACCTGCAGGCAGTCTCTGCAGAAGGTACTTCACAACAAACAATCATTCAAATGCCTTCTGCCCAGCAGTGAAAAGTCCATCAATGGCATCTGGAAAGTTTAAGGAGAGTGGCAGAATTATTGCCACGGTCATTTCTGCACACTGCAGCCCAGCAAAAACAATCAGGTATGTCAGACTGAAGATGACAATGAGACAGGCTGCAAGCAATGATGGGGAAAGCACCTTCCAGCTCACCTGCGTCTTTGTGAAGTGCCAGCAAGTGTGAACCAGCAACAAGTCTGCACAGGGACTGCTGCAGAGACACACGGCTGTATTAGAAATTGGGATTTATAGTGGGAGCTCTCGGGCAACCTCAATAGGTGACACTGCCTACTCTGGGTACAGTGCTAGAGTTGCAGAGTCTGAACACTGTAATCACAGTTACAAGCACAAAGAAAATAGTAACCTGCATGCAGACGTGAACTACAACAAATTACACACAGATTCCCACAGCCAGCAGCCAGATACAACACAGCAGTCACAGAGCCATTCCTCCCGACTGAAGCAGTCTGTGCCTCCTGGTCAGTACTGCCCTGACACCCCTGTCCTGCTCCATCGCCTGGCAGATTTGTCAGAAAGGACAGCATGTGAACGTGATGTGAGCAACGTCCTGCAGGATGGTTTGGTGTGGCAAAGGTATGGCAAGCTGCAGAGCGTGCTGTGAGATTTGTGGCAAAATGAAACCTATTAATATAGCAGCAAGCATGTCGTTTGTCATCGTCCTTTAGTGCCTAGGAACAAAACCACCTCTGCTTGGTGAGTGCTCCGTGTGAGTTCATCAGTGCATCTCTTGCTGTCAGTGCTGTTGTTCTTGGTGGGAATTTTGGAGGATGCACCGTGCAACTGAGTGTGTGTTATAACCCACAACACATCTGCAGCACTTTCACAGAAGCACAGCATGAGATACCTGCACCAACACCGATCCACACACCTGTGTGCAGCATGATGCAATAGGAGCATTCCCAGCCTGCTGTTTTAGAAATAAAAAGCCTGGAGGGAGAGGGAATCTCTGATACGGCAAGAAAATCTCTTGCAGCAGAAAGGCCCTATTTCAGACAGCTGGAAAATGGAACGAGGTGTCAGTAGGAACAAAGGATTGTGTTTCTGAAAGATAAAACATTGCATTTCAGTTTGGCCACGCTAGCAACTTTGTACACTTGTTTTTAAGAGCTGGGCAAAGCAGAACTCGCTGCAGGCTCCCTGTAAGGCAGCGTTAGGAGGTGGGACAGTGCAATTGTTTCCAGGCACTGAATTGCACGGCGCAGCCAGCTGGTCTCACAGAGAGTACAGAACTGAGGAGTGCAGGTGGGAAACGGCACCCAAAGGTTTACCCAGGCTCTGGGCTGGACCTGGGGTAAACCATGCAGTGCAGAACAGCTGGAGGTACAGAGGTCCCAGGCTGTGGGAGGGCACTGGCTGACACACGGCATGGCAGCCCTGTGTGGGCTGCAGCACCGAAGGCCCAGAGCTGTGAGAACAAAGCTGGAAAGCAGGACTGCAGCTGTAAAACCTTACCTGTGCTTACAGCTGAGGTGTCTGCCCACCTCCAGCTGACATCTGGCATCGTCTCTCCTTCCTCGGCACCAGGAGTTACAAATCCATCCAACAAAACTCACTTTGCTGTTAGCATCCTAAATCAAATGGCAGCGGCAGACTGGCGGGCCTTGTGAACACACATGGCAAGCTGCAGCTAGAAGTCTGCCTTGGCAGCTTTCAGTGGGAAGCAGCAGTCCTGAGAACATGAGCAACCCCGCGGGTGTGCTGAAAAGCATACTGACGTGGGTTTGTATTGTTGTGAATGAATAGATTTCCTTGTACAACAAGAAACCCACCTTATGCTGTGCTCACTGGAACACCACGGGATGTTAATTCTGATGCAGGTTGGACATTAGGAAATACTTCCTCTCCAAGAGATGCTCAGGCATTGGAACAGGCTGCGCAGGGAGCAGCCCTGCAGGTGTCCAAGGAATGCTTAGATGTTGTATTGAGGGATATGGCTTAGTGGGAAATACTGGTGGGAGGTGGATGGTTGGACTGGAAGATCTTGGAGGTCTTTTCCAACCCTGGTGACTCAATGATTCCCCTAACATTATCAGATTTTGGTTTCATGTTAGTAAAATGGTTTTAAGCATTCACGCCTTGAAGTCACTCTCCTCTTGTCTGTGCTGGACTTGACCTGACAGAGTTCTTCCCACTGATTTACACAGAAAATGAGTAACTCCACCTATTCATTTCACTCACATTCATATCTTTTCATTTCCAGAAGTGAAAACAAAGCATTCCAGCTAAACTCCAGTGATTTGACACCAATCTGTTGCAGTTATTGCTACAAAGAGCAAGGCTGGTGGAAAGAGAATCAGGCTTAAAATACTTCAAAATCAAGTAAAAGCACCCATACTCTGCAATGCTTGAGGAACCACATTTGCTATGGAAAGACAAAACCAGGAAACTAAAATGGAACGAGGAGGGAGCAATCTTTTTAAGATTCAAGCCAGAATCCAGCACCCTGAGCAACCCCATCTCTGCTTCCTTGCTCAGGGGGCTCTAAGGTCTGCACCTCCTGAAACGCCTGGCGCAGCTGCATCCAGACTCTGCCCTTCAGGAAGGCTCAGTGACACACACTGAGAGTGGTGAATACTCCTTTTTCTTTTTTCTTTTTTCTTCCAGTTTGTGCTGCTTAAAAAAAAAATCAATATCGGAAGGATTCTTCGATTAATCGCAGAATCGATCTTAGCAACCCTCCCACACAAGTCTCATTGATCAGCTCTGTTAACAAGCCCTACCAGCGCCTTGTAGAATCATCACAAGAACAAGAGGAGAGGAATTGTGAGCCCTGACATCCTCAGTAAGGGCCTCCATTATTCTGAGCCATGTGTGCTCCCCTGGACTGGCAGTGGGATGGGTGCCTTGGGAACTCACACAGCTTACCGAGATCTTTGAAGAAAAAGAAGCCAGCAGCTCAGGCAAATCCACCTCTTACCAACAAGACCTAAGAGGATCCTCCAGGAGCTGTACGGCCCTGCTCTGCTAAGGAATTTCAATGAGGCGTTTTAGGCAAAACAAGTGGGAGGTGGTAAGGTAAGCAGGATGGTTTTATTCACCTTCACTCTCAAGGAACTCCAGCAGAAAAAGTGCTGATAATGTGTACCACTGCACAGCTCTCCATTTTCGTTAACATGAGGAATTTAAGTTGTGAGTGTAGGGCTGCTACTGCAACGAGCTCACGGCCATTACACTGCCAACTGCATAAATGCTTGTGCCATCACCTGCTTGCCATCTTCAGAAATGCACGGAGTATTATGTCTCATATGTCAGCCTTCTCTGCTGTGATAGATCCTCACACCAAACCTCACACAATATGATAGTTGCCAAGGTAACTACTCTTCCAGAGAGATACGATATCCAACTATGGTCTCTGTGCACTCTCACCTCACAGACAACCTGCCCTAGGTAACTGAGGCACCCATGAATTTGAGGGGTCTCCATGCTTCTGTACCTCATCAAAACGTACCTGCCTGGTGGTTGCTCAGGGATGGGGCTGCTCTGCAGAGACGAAGGACTTCTGGATCACCTCAGCATCACATTGCTCCAGCCTGCAGAACAGAAACACGAGTTACTTGGGAGAGGCCAGTAAGATTGTCTTTAGGACATTTTCAGAATCTGAAGCTCAGTCTAAGCTCCTGACAGAATTTTTGAGTTATAATGCAACTGAAGCTGCTAAAACTGTATTAAAATCATGTTAACCATTGTATTTTCTGAGAACAATACAGAATAGAATGTGAGATTCTCCAGGTGTGACTGTGGAGCAGGGTCCTTCAAGCACTGACAGTAATAATATTCCAAAGGCAACAGGCAAAGCAGTAAATACAAGGGATGTAACAGTCTGACAGCCTCTGAGAGCCATTCAGGGCATCCTCCTTTCTTTGCTGCTGCCCACCTCCCCGGAAGAACAGTGCTTCAGTTCTACTGATGGAGGCAAAGGCACCTCCATTAGCTTACACCAACAGGCACTGCAGCCAAGCAAAGAGGCTGAGCTGCAGTTCCTTACTGTGGATGCAACTTCAGAACAGGCACATAAGTAAAGACTGCAGACGTCCATAGGTTGTATTTCAATCAGAATCTTCAGATTTACAATTGTCCCTATGTATGTAGAAATCAAGTGCAGACCTCAGGTACATGAATGTTTTCACAGCAGCCACAAGGTTTATCCACTGAAGTTAAGCCGCACTTGGGCTCTAAATTGCATAATGTAATTTGCTTGCAAGGGAGGTGACAGAACTG